CATGATGGTTCCTGTAGCAATTCTTTTTGGAGCAAAAGGTTTTTCGTAAAAATCATGTGGACAGAGGTCTTTTGTCCGCTAACCTTTTTATCCATTGATTTTGCTTTGAGATTTGTGCTAGCATATGATTCATTTTCAACAGATGAGCATCAAAGATAGCCCTGATGCATAGCATCAATCTCAAAGCAAATGGTAAAAAAAGTTAGCACGTAAGGGCTCCTGTTCGCTTAAGTTTGTAAGGGTTTTACTCTGGACCATTTTATTAAAACTTTTCTTGCTATAATTTTATGAATTTCATACCTCGTACCATACATTTTTCCAATCAAACAATTTCAAATGATTTATCTTTTAATGCTACTTACCATGTTCCCAGGGTGCCCCCAGTGCACAAGCCAATCAGGCAGATTCCATGTCTTCACAAGCTCAACAAACGGTCCAAATATAGATCTCACAGTGGAAGCTGCTATATTTATCATGATTCAGGTTCAGATTTCCAACAAGAACACAAAAAAAGTCAACTGAGAAATGCCTAGAACTCAAAGCTCCTACTCTTGAATACACGAAAAGGCCCGTTCAAGAAAATTTATAAGTTGAAAAGGTTAAGAGATCAGAATCAAGAATCGTTCAAAAATTTTCAACTGGATACCGATATATATTCTGCTTGATGCTAAATAAGCCCCATGAAATGGGTTCGTATGTTTCTTATGTATGACATCAATCAAAAGAATTTGGGGCATTTTGACATAACCCTTGAAAAGTTTGGAAACATCACTTAACCCTCAAAACGTCCCGGAAAAAGTTGGTGCTTACTTATCTGAAAATGTGCAAAAGTTTTGGCGGTTATACACTCCCAAACTCTCTTTGGACCTCAAAACGTGCCAGATTCCTTGGGGGGGTTTTGTGAAATTTACCTAAAAAGAAACCGGAGAGTAAAATCCTAGCATTACCCTCTGTGTAAGTTCCACTTTACCTCCAGGGAGTGCAGCGGCAAACAGAAGAGGATAAGGTGCAACCGAGTACAGCAACATCTCATTTTGCTTCCTCTTCTTCTTTCGGCTCTCAACACCTACATCATATTTTTCTCTGTCAGCAGAAGCAAGTGCCAAACATGGAGGAGCCTTTGTGCTTCTTCTCAACAAAGGAGAGCGCAAAGATGTACAGCTTGTAATTTTAGAAAGTTGAGGTGAAGTGTAGAGGGCTTGTGGCTGGAGAGTGGAAGTGGAGGTCAGCATTGTAATTTAGCTGGCTTTGAGATGAGAGAGAGAGAGAGAGAGAGAGACATTCATACAGAGGAGTTGAGATATTAATAAAAAGTGATGAGAAGAGAGAGAGAGAGGAGAGAGAGAGAGAGAGGAAAAAGGGAGGGAGAAAATTTGGAGAGCGTGGATGAAGAAAGGCCAAGTGAATGAGAGATAACAATTAACGACAGCATAGTTTCATGTGGGTCTCGTTTGGTTCGAGAGTTCATATTTGATAACAAACCTGGGGGGGAAAAATCCAAGTTTGTCCTGCAGTTAAAGAATCATGGGTGCTTCTGGAAAAATCTTTTACCTTCTAAGTGAAATTTGACAATATTTTTTTTTCATACAGAAAGCAAGTATAAAACATTGAGTGGTGCTTTTTGGCTCGGGGTTGGGCAACTCGCGCCCAACTCGCGAGAGAGGAGCAGGGAGGTGGGCCCCCACAAAGCTGTGGGGCCCACCCCCCTTGTGAACGCAGAGGCAATCAGTGGGGTCCACTCACGTGCCCATGCGTGAAACAATCCCAGGCAAGCGGATTTCTTCACCGGCCCACTAACATCTACTATAAATACCTGATGATTATTAGGGTTTTTTGTGTGGGGTGAAAAACGTGTGGGTGAACAGCGGCTAAAGTGGGAGAAGTTGCTGCGGGAAAATTTATTCGGCTGCTGTGGGAAAAGACAGCGGCAAAGGAGATTTTTTCGGCAGCAGGTATAAACAGAGGCTGGTCTCTGGTTTCTTGAGGAGTTTCAGGAGGCTAGAAGAGAGATCTTGAGAGGAGAGAAAATAGGGTTTTACAAAAGAGATGTTTATTTCTTTTGGATAAAAAATTCAGATCTATTTTTCTTTGAGGCGAGCTTGTGGATTGTACAAGTCGTCGGTGTTCTTCTCATAGTGGAATCTCCCCTCACCCCTCCCGTGGAGGTAGGCAAGTTTGCCGAACCACGTAAATCTCGTGTATTTACTGTTTTCTGGGTTGTTGGCTATTGCTTGTAGGATCCCTCAAAATTCGGTCTTAGAGCTGATGAGAGGAAGAGTGTATATTTCACTTTGATGAAATATATCACTTTCAATTCTTGTTTCCTTTGAGAAATAAGAATTTCATTATCTATTCTCGTTTCCTTTGAGATGTGACAATAAAAGCCAGGGCTTTCTCTCAGGTGATATCGCTTCCGCGGCGGTGGGCGTGACTCTGCGCCCAACAATTGGTATCAGAGCTGTTATTCAGATTGGGAGTGGTGTTGCTTCTGATTTGAGGTGGTGCTCGGCAATTTCCTGAGAGAAGCGGATTTACTAATACAAAGCGAAGAATGACGTCAACAAGTAAAACAGTTAAAGTGGGAAAATACGAGATTGAAAAATTCAATGGGAAGAATGATTTTTCCTATTGGAGGATGCAGATGAAGAACACGTTGATTTCGCAGAAATTGCACAAAGCTTTGGCGAGAAAAGAGAAGAAGCACAAGGATATGTCTGATGAGGATTGGGAGGAGCTGGATCTGGAAGCACGGGCGTCGATTATCCTTTGCCTTGAAAGGGATGTAGCTTTCTTGGTAGATGGAGAGGAAACGGCTGCGGGCGTGTGGTCAAAGTTAGAAAGCACCTTCATGACGAAGAGTCTAACAAACCGGATCTATTTGAAATCCAAATTGTATACTTGCAAGATGGAGGAGGGCTCATCAATCCGGGAATATATCAACAAGTTCGATAGGATTATATCGGATCTGAAGGACATCGATGTGACTGTAGAAGATGAGGATCAAGCGCTTCTACTACTTCTATCTCTGCCGAAGTCTTATGAGAACCTGGTGCAAACATTGATGCTTGTGGGAGACAATTTGACGATGGATGAGACTAGAACGGCGCTTCTAGGGGATGACCTTCGAAAGATTGCAACCGGTGACATGACTACTGGTGGTAACAAAGAACAAGCGCAGGGATTGTTTGCTAGAGGAAGGAGCAATGAGCGAGGAAAAGGCAAGGGAGGAAAGTCTAGATCTAAATCGAGACCCCTTGCGGGACGAGCGTGCTTCAAATGCGGTGAAGTTGGGCATTTCAAGGTCGACTGTCCTAACAAGAGAGTAGGTGGGAAAAAGAACAACAACAAGACCGAGAGAAGAGAAGGCAAGGAAGAGGCGAGTTACGCATCGGAGGAAGGGAGCGATAAAGAATGCTATGTTGTTACGGGTGGCGAAGATACCTCCGGTAAGTGGATACTTGATTCAGGTTGCTCTTACCACATGTGCCCAAATAGGAAGTGGTTTACTACCTATAGGAGCATTGATGGTGGAACTGTATTGCTGGGGAATAACCATGCTTGTAAAACGGTGGGGCTCGGTGATATAAAAATCAAGATGCATGATGGAGTGGTCAGAACCCTAACGGACGTGCGGCACGTTCCCGACTTGCGGAAGAATCTTATCTCAGTGGGTGCATTAGACTCCGGTGGCTGCAAGATTGTTACAGAGAACGGAGTAAAGAAGGTTGTTCGAGGTTCCCTAACAGTGATGAAGGGTGTTCGTCACGGTAATCTATATACTCTCTCGGGTACGACGGTGACAGGAGATGCAGCGGTTGGAACTGATGGAAGTGGTGGAGACCCATGTGAGCACACCCGGTTATGGCATAGGCGGCTTGGGCACATGTCAGAGAAGGGTCTGGTTCTGCTTGGTAAGGAGGGTTTGCTGAAGAATCTGAAGAAACCTTGCATGGATTTTTGTGAGGATTGTGTGTATGGAAAGGCGCACAGGGTCCAATTCTTGAAAAGCAATCATAAGAGCAGAGGTATACTAGATTATGTGCACACGGATGTTTAGGGTCCGGCTCAGACAACTTCCAAGGGTGGTTCCAGGTATTTTGTCTCGTTCATAGACGATTATTCTAGGTATGCTTGGATTTATTTTCTTAAGCATAAGAATGAGGTATTTGAGACATTCAAAAAGTGGAAAGCAATGGTTGAGAACAGGACGGGCAAGAAATTGAAGACACTGAGGTCTGACAACGGTACAGAGTATACAGATGGTGCTTTCAAGAAGTTCTGTGATCAAGAGGGCATTGTTCGACACTGGACAGTCAGGTCAACACCACAGCAAAACGGGGTCGCGGAGAGACTGAACCGAACATTGCGGGAGAAGGCAATGAGTATGCGATCTTATGCTGGATTGGGCAACGAATGGTGGGCAGAAGCGGTGGCTACAACATGTTACATTGTGAACCGTTCTCCACATTCTACACTAGATGGTGATACACCCTATAGGGTGTGGTCAGGGGAACATGCAGATTATGAGAGGCTCAGAATTTTCGGATGTACCACCTATTATCAAGTCAACGAGGGAAAGCTTGACGCGAGGGCCAAGAAGGCGATATTCTTGGGGTATTCAAAGGGCGTAAAAGGCTACCGCCTTTGGTGTACAGAAGATTCGAAGTTCGTGATCAGCAGGGACGTTACCTTTGATGAAAAATCCATGATTGCTAGGGCGCCCAAGGATGATGGTGTTGGGACTGTTGGGACTTCAAAGTCCCAGGTTATTGAGATAGAACCTAAAGACCAACCAGGTTCTAGTCATGTTCAAGTGGAAAATCAGGTAGATGATGAGCTTGAGCAAGAGGAGGTTCAGTAGGAGAATACACAGGCACTACAACAACAGCAGCTCGAGGATACTTTGGCTTCCACTAGGCCAAAGCGAGTATACAAGCAGGTACAAAAGCTGGGGGCTGATCAACCCCTGAAGCACTATGGGCAGGTTAATTTGGTGGAATACGCACTCTCGGTGGAGGAAGATGAGCCGATCTCCTTCAAGGAAGCTATTCGGGATAAAGATAGCGAGAGTTGGTTGGCTGCGATGGAGGAGGAAATGGAATCTCTTCGGAAGAACCAAACATGGGAGATGGTCCCATTGCCCGTAGGAAGAAAAGCTATTGGTTGTAAGTGGGTGTATAAGAAAAAGGAAGATCCTTCAGAGCTCGGTGGTACAAGGTACAAGGCGAGGCTAGTGGCTAAAGGGTTTGCACAAAGAGAGGGTGTGGATTACAATGAGATATTTTCTCCGGTGGTGAAACACACTTCTATTCGGGTGCTATTGAGTATTGTTGCTCATGGTGATCTTGAGCTGGAACAACTCGATGTTAAAACGGCCTTCTTGCACGGAGACTTGGATGAAGAAATCTACATGCATCAACCTGAGGGCTACAAGGTTGAGAATAAGGAACATCATGTATGTCGCTTGAGGAAGTCACTCTATGGACTAAAGCAATCTCCTCGGCAGTGGTACAAGCGATTTGACTCCTTCATGCTAAAGCATGGGTTTTCCCGAAGCGATTACGATTGTTGTGTTTACATTCAAAAGCTTCGTGGAGGTGATTATATCTATCTCCTTTTGTATGTGGATGAAGTTTGATGTACGCCATGGTGTGTACACGCCCAGATATTTCACAAGCGGTTAGTGTGGTCACCAGATTCATGGCGAATCTGGGAAAGGCGCACTGGGAAGCAGTGAAATGGGTCCTGAGGTACTTGAAAGGTACCGTGAATATGTGTATGTGTTTTGGTGGAGATACATGTCAGATTGATGGGTTTGTTGACTCTGATTATGCGGGCGATCTAGATAGACGGCGATCTACTACTGGTTATGTATTCAGGATACATGGAGCTCCAGTTAGTTGGCGATCGATGTTGCAGGCTACAGTGGCACTTTCTACTACAGAGGCCGAGTATATGGCCATGGCGGAGGGAGTGAAGGAAGCATTGTGGTTGTGGGGTCTTCTAGACGATTTGGGGATTGAGCAGGAGAACGTGAACTTGTGGTGCGACAGTCAGAGTGCGATTCACTTGGCGAAGAATCAAGTTCATCATGCTCGTACCAAGCATATCGACGTCAGGTATCATTTCGTGCGGGACGTCATAGAGGAAGGTGATATTTCTCTCTTGAAGGTGCATACGAATGATAATCCCGCAGACATGTTAACCAAGGTGGTCACAGGTAGCAAGTTTAAGCATTGCTTGGACTTGCTTCATATCAGCCCGTGTTGATGTTAGATCCTAGAGGGGGGTGATTAGGGTCTTATGCTAATCTAATCCGATTAAATACCAATTAAAACTAATTAACAAGTTATCCTAGCAAGTATGAAATACAACAAGATATGTGAGCTAGGATAAGCAATATACAATATGATATATCCTAGCAAAG